AAATCTATTTCCTTTCTTATTCAACATTTATGTGAGACTGATGAAGAAGCTAGCGAGATGTCAATGGGTTGCAACCCACATACTACATCCTTGAAATTTAGCTCCACATCATTCATCAGTTCTAGAAAGTTCAATCGCACTGCTATTTTAGTGTCTGGCTGAGAAACACAGCTAACAGGGTAAAATCCATTCCAAATACTTCTGAGGGGATAATAGTAGTTGGAAGAAAACTATCAAAGGAAATAAAGAAGATGATATTTCAGCTGAGTGGGACGATCCAACCATGTTGTGTTAGATTTGCTTAGATTTGTTACCAAGGATCCTTATTCGATCCTGGGCTGCTTCTACATATTCAGATATGCAAGCATATCCAAACAGGCTTCATCTCATGTCAGAGGTGAAATTTTTGAGTGGCCAGTCTGTAAATGAGAGGCCAGGAGCTGGTGACTGTGGAGGGCCTTCAAGCTTGGAATTCAAGTCTTTGATGTAGCCCTGGCTAAACTATGAAGAGAGTTTTGTTTAAAAATGTGTTAGATTTTTAAACACGAAGAAATTAAGGTGGACAATGATAAAGTAACATGTTTTAAAAGTATAAAATCTTGTCTAAACTGTTTTAAATCATGTTAACACCTAATGTATTTAAAAACAACCTATTTCTGTAGTCTAGACAAGGCTAGTGTTTTTAATTAATGATCCTCTCAAGATCCTAAAAGGTACATGTATTCAAGCGTTTTCTGGAGGGCCATTTTCATGCCATTTTCCCCACATATTCATTTAAGCTGTGATGTAGTTTTTAAATTCCACCCAGGTCCTACCAAAATTGCCAGTATCTCCCTACCAAAACTGCTTACTCTAAGATAGCCATTTCTACTCGATACATACCTTTACATTCCTTCATCACTCCCATAAGCAGCGCTATCCCTGTCATGCTAAAAATCATCTATCGTATCACAAATAAAGCCACCAAATCAAATAGTTATTTACTATCTCAGCACAATACTAGAGAAAAATCTCTCTTCTATAGCTTCACCATGTAAGGCATCCTTGAATGCCAGTAGGTTACTGCACCTTTCCTTCAGTCTTCAACCATAATGTGATGTTTGATACTTCTGACCATACTATGTTCCTAGAACACTATATCTGGTATATCTGCCTCCCAGCCTTCCTTCAGTTAGTTTTGCTTTGCTCAAAGAAGACAATACTACACCCCGTATTTATGGTATAGGACCCCATAAAGCTTTGTTCTCAACCCTTTCCCTCTCCATCTAGCACCCCTTATTAGTATTCAGCATTTCATAAACACTCCAGTACTATTTGTATGTTAAGGTCAGTGAAAACTTGAGCAAAGAGTCCCTTCTCAATTTACACTCTGCCTACCTGCTCAAACACATTATTCAACTCTAGCTTAATTTACTTGAATCACCATAAAAGATGGCTATTATCTTACTTGACATGGGGATACCATTACTTACATCTCAATTCTGAACACAAGTTCACTTCTTGGATTTGGAATACTGTAGTCACTCAGATAGATTTTCTTTGCACCTCAAACTGCTACAACTCTTAAGTATTGCAACTTCTTAAAAAAAAAAAATCACAGCTACGGTGACATTCATTCTATGAATAGCTCATCGATTTCATGCCTTATTGTAGGTCCTGTTATATCCTCCCCCAAATTTGCCCATACCCAGTGTTCTGTAGATTCACAATGTTTCAGCCCACTATATCTTTAGGACATGTCTTGGCCACCCAGTTCTAGCTATCACTATACCTGATGTGCTCATCTGCTCATTCTGGCCCCATCTGACTTCTTACATGTCTGACAGATATCACGCTGCTCCCACACCAGGTATCTGACATAGTCTACTGATTCTCCAATTTTTTAACAAGTACCTCATTTTACTGCAGCATGGAACTACATACAGGCAGTCCCCGGGTTACATGGATCCAACTTACATCGGATCCCTACTTACAAACAGGGTGAGGCAACCCCGCACTAGTTGCTTCCCCTCAGCAGACCAGGGAGACACGAAGCTAGCGCCCCCCCAGCAGACCAGGGAGATGCGGAGCGGCTTTTCTCAGCAGACACTTCAGCTTGAGAATAAAGGGCTGAGGGAAGTGAGGTGTGGGAGAATAAAACTGAGCTCTGGAGAAATGTTTGGCTAGAGTTTCCCCTACAATATGTACCAGTTCCGACTTACATACAAATTCAACTTAAGAACAAACCTACATTCCCTATCTTGTACGTAACCAGGGGACTGCCTGCACCTGTAAGCCAGTTCATTACATCAATACTTACTATGCATTAGTGACTCATTTGCTTCTGCTGCTCCCTCCTTTCCCCATATAACCGTTTTTGTTGTTGTTGTATTCCTTGATATAACTTCTGTGTATTTTAATTATGTGAAGAGGTAAAATTGATTCTAATTTATTTTATACTTTGCCTTCCTAAAGAGGTTCACAATTCAGGAACAAACATTTTTATATGACAAAGGTGGTAGAAAAGACTGAAGAAATTAGTCACCATTTAAATAGGAATCTGTCTAAATCAAGCTTCAGTGGTCATAGATAACACATGCTGGCAAAAGTACAGTGCAAATTAACACACATTAGCACAGCATGATCATTTGAAGTAGCTAGATTGGCTGCGTACTACTACCATGGTGGCTCTCTCTTTCATAATTTAGCCACTACAATGCAATTTTTGTTTTCAGAATATAAAACCCAGGAGTCTCAGTGGTGGCAGCAGCCGTAACTCATTCTGCTGTCATAGGAGAGACTGCTTTAGGAAGAATACACAAACTCCCCTAGAGAAATTGCACATTTTAATGTCATGTTCATTATTGGACGAGATCTTTTGCTCCAGAGTCCTTGCACAGGCAATCTAGAGAAACAGTGATTGGTGTAAGTCCCAAAATCCCAACCATAAGAGGTGCTTCTCCAGTAGTGTCTGCCTGTGTGATCCTTTGTGAAGTACAGACCCGTAAAAAGAAGTCAGGAAAACATAAAATGGGATGGCAAAGGGGCGTTCACGCCGTAGAGCAAGAGGAAGAGATAGCAGGCAAAATATGAACTCAAAGATACCCCAAGAGAGAAAACTGAAAAAGGAAGAGACCAAAAACCCAGAAAAAAGATTAAAGTACAGCCAAACTATAAGTGGGCAGAACAGAGGCAGAAAACACGCTGACTCCGAAAAGGGCAGATATTACAATCAAAGTATAAACTCACAGACTCTGAGGAGATTTTCTTCAAAAGCTCAGGACCTGGGGTTCCAACGAGTCTCAAAATGAGCTTCAACTGATCAATATCTAATGGTGAACCATAAAGGAAAATGCTGGGACAAATCAAAATGAAAAAAAAAAAAAAATCAGAGCATCAGCCTAATGAAGCTGGAAAGTTAAGGTCTAACAAGACCTTGCCTGAACAGTCATTTTAAGCAAACTTTATACACTCCTTCTGTATAAAGTTAAACATCCCCACACAATGCTGTTGTGTCTAAATCATTCATATTAAAACAACTGGACCACAAGTGTGCACACATGGATTGAGCATAGTTGATCACTTACGCTGTGCACTTGACTGACATGAACAATGCACAACAGACATGAAGACAAATTTTTGTCTCACCGGCAAGGCTTAGTTCACATGCTCCCTCCACCCTTCAACCTCCAACCAGAGCTTTAGTAGCTAGCAGTATTTAGCACATTAGTAACAGATGCAGTAAAGCAGAAGGCTGGCAAGTGTAGGTGCTAGTATGCAACAATACATGGCCATTTGTAACACACTGCTGAGACTGTTTGACCAGTTATGACAAACTCCAGATGTCACAGAATGATGGGAACTTGCTTGCTGTCTAGAGTTATTCTAACAAAACTAAAAACTGAGTGCACCCTTCTTCCACTCCCCATGCTGCACGCTAAATGGAGAACCATTTAAGTGGCCAATATAATCAGCAGAGGATGCTTATTTCCTACTGACTTCTTTTAGAAAATAAGAAGTGGACTATATCTTTTTGCTTTTACATTGCTGGCAAAATAAAACAAAAACAGGCCGAAAAGAAGCTTGCAAAAAAAACAAAAACAAAAAACCCAGGGTTTGAAAGCCCCCAAGCTGTATATTTGTATGATGAAAACCTTTATACTTCCAATGGGACAGTTAATCTAGAATAGACACAATGTCCAGTCCAAAATGGAACTACCATTAGGTCATTTAGACAACTGAGCTGCTCTCTTCAAAAAGGCAGAGAGAAAAGAAAAATCTTTAAGAAATCTGAAAAAACGTACAATGAGAAATCTGTTAAAAGCCTGATTGTCACAAGAACAAAAAAACAGACTAGAAGTCAACTTTTTAAAAAATTGGGGAGAAATCTTATTCAATCCCTAAATTGCTCTAATATGCTGCAGTTCATATCCCATTAGTGATTTCAGACTACATCATTCAAGCTTGTTTCTGGAACCCCTGGTACTCTTAAATTAAATTAACATAGTTACGTGGCTTCCTTTAAATACAAAATATTTCTAGACAACATTGCTCACGTCCAGGGAAAACAATGCCACCCTGATCACATAAATGCAGTTACAATTGTATCTTACTACAAGGCATCTTTTTACTCAAATGCCATAATCCATACATAACTGAGTATTCGTACTATATGCATTTTGTGTACATATTAGAGTACAATTCTTACTACAAAAGTCTTCAAGTAGTGCAAACATTTCAATGAAATTTTGCCCATGCCCAGGGGCTGTTTTTCAAATACCCAAAATGCATCTGCACAACCAATTGTACTTGTTAAAGCTGTGTTTAGATTAAAGTTTGATTTATAATAAATTATTCTATAATGGACAAAAAACCCCAATGTGATAGTTTACTTTGACAGGCAAACGGAGTTGACATTTCATTCAAAAAATCCACATTTTGAATAAACTTATTAAATCTGAATCAAAACATGCACTCTTACATTACAGCTAGAAAGACTGACTATAATCACTGAACTGCAAACTCTCGGGCACCAAAGCTCATAACGGAATCAGACATTTCTGTGATATAATTCACAGTAGTCAGCTGTAAATTAGGGATGTAAAACTGGCTAACTGGTTCAACATCTTGTTTAACCAATTAACTGATTAAAAGGGCTGAGAGCCAGGGCGCTCTCCCCTACTCACTGCTGCGCTGGAACACACTCCCTCTCCGCCACATGCAGGGGCTGCTCCAGCTCAGCCAGAGCAGCCCCTGCCTGTGCCTCCTTCCTCCTCCGGCAGGGGCTGCACCAGCTGGTATACTGGAGTAGCCCCTGCCTGCAGCGGGCTGGCCTACAGAGCACCCAATTCCATAGGCAGGCAGGGGTTGCGCTGGAGCAGTACCTGCCCACCGCGTCCCTTCAACCCCTGTTCCGTAGCCCCCAGCAGCTGTTCCAGCCCAACCAGTTAACCTTAACCAGTAAGCCTAACCTGTTAAGGTCAAAATGTCAGAAGTATTCTGAAAGATCTAAATATTTTCTGAAGTTTTAGCTGAGCACTTCACTTTTTGTCCTAAAGTGCTGGAGCACTGCTGTGCTCTGGTGGTTGGAAGTGAAGATATCCATGTATAATACCGGGCATGTCCATTTAAGAAAAGTTCCCACTGACCTATGCAGTTATCCCTAGTTTAGATAAGCTCCCAAGTGTTTTGGAATTTAAATCTGAATAGAAATGTGAAATATTTATGTTAAATTTGCCCAGTATTATTTTAAGACACTAAAAGAGCTTGCTTATTAATGTGAAACAACTGAACTAAAATGAGAGTCAGAAGCATTTTTTATTTTGGTGTTATATTCCTTAAAAATTCACTACATAAAAATTTGGCACTTACAAAATTGTATGATCTATTTTATTAAAAACAGAGCCAGTATATAAATATTACCAGATGCAGAAGAGATTATCCGAAAACACCCTTGCAATAGTTTTAGAGAGTCTGCACTCCTTAATGGAATTACCTATTCACAAACAACTCAGGAGTGCTGGCTTTGAGCACATGTATAAACACAGTTGTGCGGATGATGCTATTGCACACAGCATGCTGGCTGTCCTGCCAACCCTATTCTCAGGAGACAGCAAGGTATTAGAAGTTACTAGAAAGTTCCCAAGTGTAATACACTTCAAGTACTCTGCTAGCTCCTGAAAGCAAAACTAGCATGCAGATTGGATGTTGCCCTATACAAACCTGTGAATCCAACCAGAAGTACTGCATCTAGTTTTAGACCTCAACTGTATTCCACAGAATTGCAAGCGTAGCCTTCACTCTGGAACCAATTGCCCCATTAGTTAAGTGAACTCTGAACAGTTAAACACCAAACTAACAAAGTTAGTAAACATACAAAGCAAAGGGAAAACAAAAACAAAAAAAAAACTCAAGAAGAAAAGTATATGGAAAGGGAAAGCAGAGCATGCAAACCTCAAAAGGATCGCCACAGGCTCTCCGAGGATTCAAGTCCCAGTGATTCTGAAATGCAGAAAACAATCAATCTTCCATCACCATTAGCAGCACAAGATTACAGGAGCTTATCGAGGCATAGCAAGTCCAAAGAATACTTGCAAGGCTAGACAAGCAGAAAAACATGTACCAGGAAACCAAGTAATTTCCAAATGGTTCATTTTCCACATGAAACTTCTGTAGAACAGCATGTGACTGGACAGCAAAAAAAAAAAAAGTCACAGAATTTAAAGAGACACGATCAACTAAACAGTTATTGTTAAGTATTTCTTACAACTATATCCAAGATTGTAAATAGGAAAATACATGTTTGTTTCCTTTTGCATGATGCTATACTTTGTACAGGGAAAACAGAAAATCAGCTTTCTCTGTTATTTCTATGGATCACTCACACTGAAAAAGCGGTGACAAGTTTTTTATCAATGGAAAAATATTCTTGTAAAAGCACAAATATTAATAGTAAAAATAAGAGAAAATTATAGATATCTGAAGTCACAATTCATTTTCTGAAGATGACTGAATTTCAAGAGGATGGCGAATGATTAATCTAACTGTGTGAGTGTGGCAGGGAGAAATTCAGGTTTTCAATTACCGTCCTACATCTTATTTCCATCACTCCAAAATTTTCTGCATCTGTTGATTATACCTCTACAGTCTTCCTCTCATCAAAAAAGATTTTACTAACTTTAGAACCTCACAGTTGATCTATGAGCTTCACCCCAGAGTTAACCAAGACAAATATAACAGTAGAGAGTTAATTCCCCATCTGTGCAGATTAATTATAGAAACATGTGGCTTATTACTTGAATAATAAACGCCCAGTGCTGGGAGCTTGGGGCACTGATCTTAAAAATGCAGAAAAATCTGAGTGTGTCACTACCTTTAGTTCCTTCTTGCTATCTATGCGGGTCTCAAAGGACTGAATGGGGGAGGGGTTGGCCCACTTTTATATCTTTGGCATGAGGTGTAAAGAGATAGTTAAGAGTCATACCCAGTGCCCACAGACGCTGGTTTCCAGAATGTGCCCAACTCACATGCAGAGGATGTGTGTGTCACTTAAGGTGGAGGATCTATGTAGGAAATGCTCAAAGAACTACTAAAAGATTTCTTTACCTGTGGAGGAGGTATGGGAAGGGCCTGAATACGTCTACATATATTTACTCCTGGGGGAATTCTGTGCCAACGTGCAACACAGAACTTGACAGAGTTCCCTGTTTCCCCTGCAGAATTGTGGCTACAAGAGCTACTAGCTGCTACTAGGGGTCGCTGAACTCTGCAGAGCCTAGCTCACTGTGAGCAGAATGCCCAGGTTGGCTGGGTTGGAGACTGCATGCTGTGCTTGATCCTTATTCTCCTGAAATGGAAGAGAGCCCTGGAAACATAGCTATGACAAAGGGTGAGGAAGGGCAGGGCTCAACATGATATCATGATAACATATCTCTCCCAGTGGGACACAAAAGAAGCTGAGAGGGAACTAGAGGCTCTGGGAGTGCTGGTGACTGGGCAGAGGGTGCCCCACAGCTGGGATCATGTGTGTGTGAATCCTACGGCAAGGCTCTATGGGGTGGGGGATGCTGATATCTGGGCCAGAGGTGTACCCTGCAATGGGACTGTGGGGCGATGGGTGTGCAGGTATCTGGTCTCTAACAGAGTATTCCCGGAGTATAAAATCAAGCACTGATTAGGAGAAAAACATCACAATGTGACAAATTATGAACACATTAAAGAATGCAAGCATTCAAGACAATCATCAATATCTGCAGGAAATATGTAAATTAGTAAAGCATCTTAGCATGACATGGGAAAGGACAGGATTTCTTAAAATCAAATTTGATTTTCATAGTAGTTATATGCCTAAAATGCATATTTTAAGAAGTCAAAAGAAAGTCTTTCAGACTTGGAAGGAGAGATTTATCTTTTCTGCTCAGTGCAATGAAGTACACACAAAAGCATTTCCTGGCATTTAACAAAACATTTAACTTTTTTACAGCACTTTCCTAAGTATGTTAAATTTAGATTAATCAACTAATCGAATAGTCAATGTAACTTGCATCGACTATTTGATTAGTCAATAAGGGCGCCTCTGCCTTTGAAATGTAGCAAGAGCCCTGCTGGCTCCTGCTACATTTCAAAGGCAGAAGCGCCTTGGGGAGCATGGCCAGTGGGGGACTCAAGCAGTCCCCTGCTGGCCCTGCGCTCCCTGCTTCTGAAATTACAAGAGCCCTTGTACATTCCAGAATCAGAGAGCCCAGGACCAGCAGGGCACTGTTTGAGTCCCCAGCTCACCCCAGGCTCCCTGCAGTGATTCAGCTTTTGAAATGTAGCAAGAACTTTGCTCTTGCTACATCGCACTGGTGGAAATGCCACCAGTTCCCTGCTGTACCCCTGCCCCTTCTTCCCACTTGGACAGTGCTGGGGTTCCCCGCTGGCTATGCTCCTCCCTACACCGGATCCTGCTCCCCCCTTTGCTGCCTCTCCCTGATAGAGGCAGCAAGGGGGGAGGAGAGGGAGAAAGCAGCTAGTCGAGTCACTAGTCAACACTCCAATAAGCATTTGCTTATCAGAGAGTTGACTAGTCGCTTACATCCCTACACTTTCCATCAGTAGATTTCAAAGCACTTTATAAAGGAAGTCAATATTATCTCCAATATAAAGACAGGGAAAATGAGGCATAGGGAGCTGAAGTTACTTGCCCAAGTTCACCCAGAAGGCCAGGGGCAGCCCCGGATTCCCTGAGTTCCAATGCAGTGTTCTATTCAATAAACCACATTACTTTCTTACACTGCAAATCCTATTTGAAACACTGAATTACACTTTAGCATTTTTTGTTACACTGCACAGAAGAAACATCATCTGAAGCACATGAAGTATAGAAAACTTTTGTTAGAGACCCTGAATCGGTGTTCTTCGGTTTAGATTCTGGATTCAGGATGCTAGTGCTTCCAGGGTCAAAAGTCAATAGCAGTGATACTTTTTCTGCAGCATAAAACGAAGCACCTAAGACAGACCACATGTTAAATTGGTCGCCAGCTTTTAGGTAGTCAAAATGGGGAGACGGCAGTATTTGTCTATTTCTCTCTTCTGGATCCCAAGAAAGGAAGAGAATAGGAGAGAAAGAAACAGATCTGAAGTTCAAGTAGCCCAACTGGAACTGGAAAAAGGGAAGAGAGGAGTGGAGATAACTGAGGTTGAAAGAGCATAGTTAGCAAATCCAGATGGATGAGTGGTGGAATGAATTTATAGGTAGCATGGAAGGAAAGGAAACAGATAATGCAATACAAGGAGAGCAAGAAGGATGGAATAGTAAGACACTGAAGGAAAAGAAAACATACAACAGAAAATGGCATAAGTGTAATGAAAGGAACAAAGCAATTAGTGTTTTTTTAAGGTCTAGGAAAGAGCTTTCCAAAGATATATTAAATAGTAAGTTAACATATTACACATTACTAGGAAACAGAAACTGATGCAAATGTTAGTGCTTATGCAGACAAACTATAATTGAGTGTATGGAGTGGGGAAGCTTTGGTGGAAGGTGGCTAATCTCTGACAAAATCCATCCCTATATTTAGATGTTAACTCAATCGTGTCTGCCTGGAATTATTTTTATCCCTAGTTGTTCAATGGCTGACTAAAGTTTTGTTTTTTTCTTTGAAATACACCAATTTGCTCCAAATAGCAGATTTTATTCCAATTCTTTGAGGAAAATATTCCTAGATGCTTCTGCAAGGAATTAATTTCCCCCTTCACAAAATTACCCTCTCTTCTAGGCTTGCCAAAAGATCTCGCCCAGGTCACTTTGATGCTACCAAAACGATCATGATACAAGTCTTATCAGAGCCTGAGCCCTTATGTCAGCACAAGTATACGCTGAAACAGGGAGTGAAACCCATCTGATTAAAATTAATAAGCATCTGACAAGCATCTGGGTATTTTGGAACAAATTGGCAAGGAGTCCCTGGCCTAACACATGAGAATAGCTGCTTTAATAACAACACATTTAAACAAGAAAGAAGGTCAACTTTTTGAGAAATAAGGGATGTTTTATACTTATAAGGAATCTGCACTAAGATCAAGAAAGATGCAATAAGGGGTATGGGTCATTTTGTGCCACTGACCAAACCTAAAAGCCAATAATTTAGCCAGACAGACAAGCAAGGGACTCCCAGAAACTGTCAACAAGTGAATAGTTCAAGTGATGGCAGCTGCCAGTGAAGAGGAAGAGTGCTGGCTCCTTTTGCACAGTAATGAGTTCTCAGGTAGAGCATACCTAGCCATGTCTGGAGCACAAGAAGTCATTCGCTGAAAATTTTATTTCCTTGTGAAATGTATGACAGTGAAATGCTCTAATTTACATTTCAAAAAATAAAATAAAGTTTTTAAAGGATACGGTCTGTACCAGGAAACAATGTTCGTCCAGTCAACAGCTCAGCCATAATGCACCCAACTGACCAAATATCAACTGAACAAAAAAAAAAAAAAAAAAAAAAAAGATAAATGTAGTATAGGAAATAATAAAATGTCAACAGAATTATCTTGTTCAATAAGAAGAAATAACTCAATCCTTTGGTGTTAAAAACAACTTATACCATAAGTCCCAGGCCAGCCAACAATCTTCTGTCACACTCAGCTGACTCTTGACAAAGCAAACCTAATACTAAATTAGATGACCCCAGCTGGGCACAATGTCCATCAGGCATAGAAGTCCACAGAGGAAGAGGGGAAAGCCTGTTCAAGGCAGGCAGATGTCTGTGGGATGCATTTGCACAGCTGCAAAAGGGCCTGGTCTTACACCTATCATACCCAAATGGAAACAGATGGAAAAGGAAGGCAAAAAAGCCAAACAAACAAACAAACCCCTCTCCCACACACACACACACACACACACACACACACACACACACACACACACACACACACACACACACACACACACACACACAGATAAAATATATGAAATCAAAGGAGCACATTTATATTATCTATCTCCATAGGAGGTCATGACCTTTGAAAATGAGAGGAATGGATGAGAATGAATATTTTGCTCATTATAACCCTGAGAATTGTAAATGTTTTATTTAAATTAAATCCTGAAAATGCAAACGTAATGATACTCAAACTCTGGCCATGAACAGCTGGCTGGCCATATAATGCTGGCTCTTCCCTTCAGCTTTACTTAAATACAGTTGCTATAGTTGCCCTACTTGTACAGGCAGTCCCCGGGTTACATGGATCCGACTTACATCAGATCCCTACTTACAAACGGGGTGAGGCAACCCCGCACTAACTGCGCCCCCCTCCCCCAGCAGACCACTGAGACGCACCGCGGTCCCGCCGCCCGCGTCCTCCGCGGCGGCTTGAGAATAAAGGCCTGAGGGAAGTGAGGTGTGGGAGAATAAAACTGAGCTCTGGAGAAATGTTTGGCTAGAGTTTCCCCTACAATATGTACCAGTTCCGACTTACATACAAATTCAACTTAAGAACAAACCTACAGTCCCTATCTTGTACATAACCTGGGGACTTCCTGTATTCTTAAAAATGGAAGGAAGGGTGTCTATAAAACAATCCTTACCAGGAGAGCTACATTATTAAATGTTTGAGAACCTCTTTGCTAATGTACCTGTCTGGTTGTAATGCATCCAGTTCAGCATAATCTCAGGAGCCCTGTACCACCTGGTAGCCACATATCCAGTCATCTCATCATCTGTGTGCCGGGCCAAACCAAAATCCAGAATCTGCAGAAGAGAGAGAGGGAGAGCGCACTGCACATTATTGCCACAGAAAAATAAAACCATCCAAACACTTTAGAACAAATCAGGTAGTTTTGAGACTGGATGGAGAAAGAACTGAATGGGAACAATGAAAAAAGTAGACTATGGAACATCAATTATGGCACTAGCCTAGACAAAAAATAGAATAGGCTACAGATATCACGACTGGGGCATAACCTGCTTCTAACTGTACTCTGCTCAATTCCAGGCCAAAACTGTGGTAGCCTTTACTCTTATGTAGGTATGTAAGCAACTAGTTGCTTTCTCCCTCTTCCTGCTGCCTTTACCAGAGAGAGAGGCAGCGGGAGAGCAGGAGCTGGTGTTGGGGGGAGCCATCTTAAAAGCCGGTTCCCCCCCAGCAGCACTATCTTGGGGGGGGGGGGGGGGGGGAAGAGGCATAGGCGTAGGCGCGAGCCGGAAATCAGCTGACTCCCAGCTTGCGCCTGCTTCCCCACACTGTGCTTGTGCTTTTTAATACATTTAAAAGGCAGAGCTGCAGTGGGGTTAGCTCCCGGGGCTAACCCTGCTGCAGCTCTGCAGTTTCCCCCACTTAACAACTAATTGACTAGTCAATGGAAATTTCATCAACTAGTCGATTCGCTGATTTATACACTATTTAGCATCCTTACTCTCATGAACACTAAATTCACTCCACATATAAAAGTTAAATTGGAGTTTAGCACAAACTTCCTTTCAGCCTCTTAAACATACAACTGGTGAGGACTAAAGTATTCCAGGCATATTCAACTGAACTATTAAGAAGCTGATTTTCTTAAGTCCTGCATCTTTAAAATCCACCATGTGACTATTCAAATCACAAGTCAAATTAAGTGCACATTATCCCCAGATTACCTTCAGCTCACAGTCTTCATTTACAGCTAGGTTACTAGGCTTTAAGTCCTAAAAAGGAAAAAAAAAATCAGCAGTCTTGCATAATATATTAGTTGCAGCTATGGCAGAGTCTAGGATAATTTGGCATTTGGCATTAACAACTATTTAGTTAGGAACGCAACTCTTTGTAGTGGGGAGAAGTCTAATTTTAGAATACATTTTTACTGAGTTTTCTGCAGTTCTTAAAGGCCTTCTGTATAGGCAGCAGCTAGCTTTCTCAACCTTCTCTCACTAAAGGCTAATTAATTACCTTCATAAAGGTATTGAGGTTTAAGAGGCAAGTAATGCAATTTACCCAAAGACAAAGCAAGTCAAAGCAGAACTGGGAACAGAACCCAGGAATTTTAACATTCATTTCTCATCCTTTACTTCTAGACCACTTCCTTCAATATCCCCCAACAGCTTTCATCCCAGTTCTACTGTTGCTGTGATGAACAGATTCTAAGTCACACCATTTAAAAATAGTGAATTCAGTACATTTTAAACAGTTACCCTAATACCAATACTCACTCTGTGTATTATATCAGCCGAATGGATGTACTGTAATACAAGATGACAGATATTTTACAGATCCATATAATAAACATCCTCTCATGCTCTTATTTATAGAGCATAACACACCCTCGTCCCCCACATAATTCACTTGCAGTGGGAATGAAGTGGGACTTAAGCGGTGCATAGAGCTTCCATGGGTCATGTGCACAAAGGGTGTTTCATACTTAAATCTGTCTCCTTTCAAACACTGAAGAATTCACTCTTACCAACAATGAAATGGAAATAATGAGACAAATTGATGGGATAATAGAACCACTATGATAGCGCATGGAATAGCTCTTATTCATAGCCTTGCAGGCTCAGCCCATCACTATACACAATGTGAGAATGTATTCACATTGTGTGTTTCTGTGGAGTACTATAACAATACTGAATCATTAAGCTGACAGGAGAAAGAACAACAGAGGGTTTCCCTAGATGCACTAAGAAAATAAATATACTCTACTATCCATTTATGTTAATCTCTAATTGTATACTTCAGGACTTTCCATTTCTTCAAGCTGAATGTTCAGCATTTTGATAGGACTGGTGCATGTACCTTCAGTCCCCGAAGAATTTGGTATATAAGAAACTGTACATGGTCATCTGTGAGCTTCTGACATTTCACAATGTTGTTTAGATCAGCCCCCATGAGGTGGGTCACGAGGTACCTAGCAGGGCGGGAAAAAAAAAGTAGGACAGATAAAGCCACCAGGCAATAAATACCCCATTTTCCCCACGAGAGACAATTTCTAAGCAAACTAGCACTCTTGGTCCTGAATGAAGCTTTGCTTCACATGGAACAGGATGGTAGACTAACGGACCACTAAGGAGACATCCTTCTTGTTCCTCAATACAATCCTGAATAAAGCATTTTCTTATTCAATATAGATGACTAAAAGGCAGAACCATTCCTGTTTTCTTTCCATAATTCTTCCTCAACTAAGAAATGTCTGGAGTAGCATAACAATTTTCTTCACTTGCATGGCATTGAGAACATAGATTTTGCCAGTCCAGGTGAATGGCCAAACCACTGCTTCCCTGGAAAGTACAATACCCTGGCTGAACAATCTTCTACGGAATGGAATAATGGATGGCGTGAGAAACTCCTTCCTCTCCCCAGTGGCAATGTCAGCTGATGCCTTGAACCACAACACTGAATGCCAGTTTTCTTCTGCGATATGAAACACTCCTCTTTTCAAAATTACACATCCATACACACAAGCAAAAACACTGATTTGCAAACCCTGCACTACATTACTTCATCCCCATGTGTTCAGTGAGAAAAATAAGTTGCTGCTAATGTAGACTTAGTGTATTTGCTGATATAGCTATTCTGGCAAACCTTTTCTAACGTGGATGTGGCCCAACCAAATGTAAAATGATAGGTCAAGGATTTACTCAGTTATGACACCATAACAATAAATGTGTTCAGAGTCCATACAAACTGCTGTTTTCCCCCCACTTTGTAACAGCAACAACCACCAGAGATTAAAAGCCAAGAAATAGTACTTTAAACCCCAACAATAATCTCTATTAAGATTTTACTCTGTTGCAAGCGGCTTTCAAGAATAAACGCAACTTAGTAATGATATTCCAATGATACAATCATCCATCCAAACATAAATCCACAAGAAAAACCACGGTCAATTTTTTATTTTAGCATTGTTCCAGATGAAAGAATGATACATGCTAGCACAACTAGAAGCCTGGCCCCCGCACATTCTTACTATACTTTCATACTGAGTTGGTCTTCTTTTTCCATTAGTACAAACAGGAAGAATTGTGTTGGAAAGAGTACCGTTTCTAGATCTTTTAAATATACGCCACAAAGACACAATTCAGTACATCCAAGAGGAAGAGCAGATTGTGAAAGGCCATTTGCAATGTTTCACATAAGGAAGCCCAAACCCACATAACTTCAGAAGTCCAGTATTTTTCAAAAAAATCTAACAACATACTGAATGTTTTTAAAATTTCAATGTAATTTAGAATTGTGTAAGCAATCTTGTCTCTCAATTCCCACAGTACTTCAAAGAAGATATTCTGGACACTGCTGATTCTGTATTGCTTCTTCTAATAAACATTAAAACCCCCCCACAAAGAACATAACAATATTTTTCTATGAAGCAGTGTAAAAGCAGACAAATTTCAGTATATTCTCCCCATTCCCTCTGGTACCAAAGTCCTTGATCAAGCTTAGAAGCAAGGGTTTTGTTGTCCAAATAGTTTTAAGTCTGACTGGCATAGGTTTTGTTTGCAGTGCTAAGGATGGCAAGGGCCAATTATATTAAACTCTCACTATAAAGTAGTACATAAAACTTGGAGATCTCTCCCATCAGAAGTCTATGGTCACGTCTACAATGAGACAGAAACCACCCCACAATTCAGCAGTGAGTCTCAAAGCCCAGGTCAAGGGCCTTGGGTTCACATTATGGGGCCAAAAACAGCAGTGCAGACATTCCTGTTCTGAAACTCAAGGGGGATGAATCTCAGACAATTAGGAGTCATGCGTAGGTGCAAAGGCAGCATGTGTTTGTATTATGGCATCAAGAGTACCTAAATAAAGACCAGAAGCCACATTTTAAAGAGATATGACGTTCTACTTTCAAAAGTGTGCCATTTAAATTTCCTAAGTTCCAAGTCACTTTTGAAAATTTTACCCCGAGAATTTTAAATGGACTTGCCTATACCCTCTGAAGAAATGAAGTTTTGGGAGAGAATCTAAAAATTGGAGAACAAGTAGTCCTGTAGCATCTTAAGAGACTAACAATATATATATATATATATATATGTAGTATCATGAGCTATATATATATAATCATGAGCTTCCATGGGTAAGATCCACTTCATCAGATGAGTTATTTCCACTCTAACAGAATCCAAGATACAAATAAATAACAGCAAAAGAAGTACCTGTCAATTGTAAGACTCATGTTAATGAAGCTAATTAAATGGGCTGGGTGTGTCCCATTCATAGCTTTTCATGTCAAAAATGGAAAACTGTCTTCTATAGCTCAGTTTTGTTCTTATTTATGCAAACCAGGACTTTCACATTGGAAACCTTTCCTCACTGAAGGCAAACCACCATCTAAAATCATGGGCATCACACCATTGGCAGTTTTCCTTGTTGCTACTTTAACATCTGACCCTTATGGGAAAGATGAGAAATGCTATGTTGGACACTCTGTGTTGGTAACCGATAGCTTTAATTCAATTTCTGGGGAGATTTGCAACTTTCTGAAAAATCTTCAGGCTCATTAAGCTACATGGACAGAACATGGATTTTGTTACCTTTGAATCATAGAACTGGAAGGGACCTTGAGAGGTCATTGAGTCCAGTCCTCTGACCTTATGGCAGGACCAAACAATATCTAGATCAGCCGTTCCCAAACTTTTCCAGATGGGGATCCATTTTGACAATTCAGGAAGACTTGGTGACCCAAGGAAATTAAAAAAAAATGTGTGAATGGCTCCTTAAGAGCCACCTGTGGAAATACCTGCCAACCCTTTTGAAATGTAATGGGGACCCATATTTGGGTCCCGACCCATAGGTTGGGAAACCCTGGTCTAGATCATCCCTGAAAGGTGTCTGTCTAACCTCCTCTTAAATATCTCCAGTGATGAAGATTCCATAACCCCCTTAGGTATTTATTCCAGTGCTTAACCACCCTGACAGTTAGGAAGTTTTTCCTAATGTCCAACCTAAACCTCCCTTGTTGCAATTTAAGCCCATTGCTTCTTGTCCTATCCTCAGAGGCCAAGCAGAACAATTGTCTCCCTCCTCTTTGTAATGCCCTTTTAGATACTTGAAAACTGCTGTCATGTCCCCCTTAGTCTTTTTTATAAACTAAACAAGCCCGATTCTTTCCGTCTTCCCTCATAGGTCATGTCTTCTAGATCTTTAATCATTTTTGTTGCTCTTCTCTGGACCTTCTCCAATTTTTCCACATCTTTCTTCAAATGTGGTGCCCAGAACTGGACACAATATTCCAACTGAGGCTTAATCAGCACTGAGTAGAGAGGAAGAATGACTTCTCATTTCTTGCTCACAACACTCCTGTTAATGAATCTCAGAATCACATTTGCTTTTTTATTTTTGCAACAGTGTCACACTGTTGACTCATGTTTAACTTGTCGTCCACTATGATCCCTATATCCCTTTCAGCAGTACTCCTTCCTACACAATCACTTCCCATTCTGTATATGAGAAACTGACTGTTCCTTCCTAAGTGGAGTGCTTTGCATTTGTCCTTATTAAACTTCATCCCGTTTACCTCAGACTATTTCTCTAGTTTGTCCAGACCATTTTGAATTATGACCCTACCCTCCAAAGCATTTGCAGCCCCTCCCAGCTTGGGATCAACTGCAAACTTAATTATCGTACGTTCCATACCATCATCTAGACCATTGATGAAGATATCGAACAGCACTGGTCCCAAAACAGACCCCTGCAGAACCCCATTTGTGGTGCCCTTCTAGCAGGACTGTGAACCATTAATAACTACTCTCCAGGAATGGTTGTATATTTGCTTAGTTTATTGATAAGAATATCATGTGAGACCATATCAAACGCCTTACTAAAGTCTAGGTATATACCACATCCACCGCTTCTCCCTTCTCCTCAAGACTCTTTATCCTATCAAAGAAAGCTATCAGATTGGTTTGACATGATTTGTTCTTTACAAATCAATATTGGCTGTTTCCTATCACCTTACTACCTTCCAAATGTTTGCAGATGATTTCCTCCATTATTTGGTCTATTATCTTTCCTGGCACAGAAATTCAACTAACTGGTCTGTAGTTTCCTGGGTTGTTCTTATTTCCCTTTTTATAGATGGGCACTATATTTCCCTTTTTCCAGTCTTCTGGAATTTCTCCAGACTTACATGATTTTTCAGAGATGACAGCTAAAGTCTCAGATACCTCCTCTATCAGCTCCTTGAGTATTCTAGGATGCATTTAACTAGGCCCTGGTAACTTGCAGGCATCTAACTTTTCTAAGTAATTTTTTAATTTCTTCTTTTATTTTAACTTCTAAAACTACCCCATTTACACTAGCATTCTCTATGTTAGGCATCCTGTCACCATCCATCTTCTTGGAAACAAAAACCGAAACAAAGAATCAGAGTGGTAGCTGTGTTAGTCTGAATCTGCAAAAGCGGCAAGGAGTCCTGTGGCTCCTTATAGACTAACTGAAGTGTTGGCGCATAAGCTTTCGTGGGCAAAGACCCACTTCGTCAGATGCATGTCACACATGCATCTGACGAAGTGGGTCTTTGCCCACGAAAGCTTATGCGCCAACACTTTGGTTAGTCTATAAGGTGCCACAGGACTCCTCACCGCTTTTGTGAAACAAAGAAGCAAACCATAATCATCCTCTTCATTTCATGTGGAGAGCAAGGAGTGTTGTGTCAATGCTTCAGGTCCTCGGACACTGACAAACACAGCTTCCAAAATCACTAGTTACACCTAGTACTTATTGCTTTTCATCCATTTCAATCACATTATTTTATAAAAAGGTGATTAAACTACTACCATCTTCTACAGATCAAAAGAATGAGACAGAGAGAAGATACGTTCATACACATGAATTGCAGCAGTGCCAATATGATGGAACAAAGAATGTGATAGGAGATAAACAGGTAGGTATTCATGTATCACTGATGTG